GTAGGAAACTCTTGTGGGATACTCTTGTAGGACACTCTTGTGGGACACTCTTGTGGCACACTCATATAGGACACTCTTGTGGGACACTCTTAACTCTTGTGAGACACTCTTGTGGGACACGGTTGCGGGACAATGTTGTGGGACACTCTTGTGAGACACTCTTACGGGACACTCTTGTAGGACACTCTTGTGGGACACTCTTGTACGGGACACTCTTGTGGGACACTCTTGTGGGACACTGTTGCGGGACAATTTTGTGGGACACTCTTGTGGGACACTCTTGTGGGACACTCTAGTAGGAAACTCTTGTGGGATACTCTTGTAGGACACTCTTGTGGGACACTCTTGTAGGACACTCTTGTGGGGCACTCCTGTAGGGCACACTCTTCGTACAAGACTTCCTCCAAAAGTCACGCTGCGAGGCTGCAAGACGAGCGTTTCGTACGAGACTTCCTCTAAAAGTCACGCGTCAAGTCTCAAACACGAGCGTTTCGTACGAGACTTCCTCCAAAAGTCACGCCAAGTCTCCAAAACGAGCGTTTCGTACGAGACTGCCTCCAAAAGTCACATGTCAAGTCCCCAAAACGAGCGTTTCGTACGAGACTTCCTCGAAAACTCACATGTCAAAGTCCGCAAAACGAACGTTTCACACGAGGCTTCCTCCAAAAGTCCAGCGGAAACACCCATCGGAGCACACACATCACGCAGCCCTGCCAAGCAGTTTCGCGATTCCAGCCCCTCCAAACGACACCCGCTCACACGCCAATCCCAATGTGACAGCGACATTCACCTCTACCAGAACTCACAACCTCCCGATTCCCTGCCCCTGCCACGAATCTTTCCGCGTCCACACGTCTAACGCGCACAAAGTATACTGCGCCTGCCACGAAATGTCACCTCCGTCACACCTCGCAACCTCACGATTCCCTGCGCCTGCCACGAGAATCGCACTTCCACACCTCAAAAGCCGCACAAAGTCCTGCGCCTGCCACGAAAAGTAACAATGTCATCTCATGTGAGCTTCACCAAAATTTGCACCACACCACACGTTTGGAATGATTTTGACCCGTTCTGAGCACACTCCCAGGGTCCAAAATCGGCATTTCAGCTGAGACTTGTCACGAAAACAGAGCTTCGATGCCATACCCTGAAACGCAAATCCCAATGGCACGGCCACATCCAACACCCCAAAAACACGACTCTCCAAACGCTAATCCCAATGGAACTGCGTAGCAAACTGCGGATCTCACAAAACGCTGCGCCTGTGCAGCGAAATGCATCACGCTTCTTGCGCGACATGTCCTTTTCACGCAAATCACAATGGACTCGCGTCGCAAACTAACACGTGACACATCCATGCATAGTCACTTGCAAAAGCTTCCCCCAATGGCAGCGCCTTAGCGACCTACTGCGGACGGTTGCGGACGGTTGCGAACACTTGCGAACGGTTGCGAACGGTTGCGAACATAGAAGCAACGGATCGCGAACAAGGCTCTACCCTGCAGACCCCCAAGAGTTAAACGAGAACCCTTCGCTACGCATTCGGGAAAAAAGGCTTTGATAGAGCCACCACAACTGAATTATATAAACATATACAGTATATATATAATCAACAACCTGTGGATGTTCAGCTGCCACAGTTTTGGGCATCTTCGTTTCACCCGTCTTATACTCATATTCGAATTTGAAGCCAAGATTGGGGACCAGATCAAGCACTCAGAAGTACGAAAAGTAGCACGTTGCCGTTTCTGCACCCTCCAACAAACTGATCATTGTGACACTCATGAAGCGTCCGCAGTAAATGAGCCGCACATGGCCCGCAACACTCGCAGACTCAGATCCTCCGGAACTGTTGGACAGATGGCTTGTATATGCTTGCAATTTCAAGCTTCTTTGTGAAACTCTTCTGGAGATACAAAATGATAGTGGTTAATGTTTCGACCACGTTCTCCGAAGGTCTCCCGCACGGATCTTCCAGTTCATTCATCACCCTTCAGATTCTTCTCTGCTGCATACCTGCATGGATTTTACAAGCTTGCTGAATGCCGTGTGCAGCACTTTGAATGCATCCAGCTACTCCCTTAAGTAGCCGGATGGAGGCAATGCAATCATGAAGTTGGTACTTCCTGGTTGCTGACACACACACACACACTGATGCAGTGCCAGTGCATGCAAGTATGAGGTTGTGAATCTTCTAGATATTACGTTGTCATGTTCATGTTCGGTACAATTCTGGCAAAAGCATATTGACCAACTTGACAAGTTGACTAAGAAGGTGGCTTTAGACCAAGTTCGTAACACGGTGTGAAGGCAGCTTTCAGGGCACATGTAGTGCAGCTTGTTCACATCCTCGCCAGCAATCACCTGGTGCTCTGTGAGTGGCTTTCTCAGACTCCAGGCCAACGCTTCTCTACAAGGGGCACCAAATGCAATATGACTCAACCCAAACCCGATCTGCTGCGCAGTAGTGTTGGGGTTCACTATGTTTCACTACCTTTCCTGCATGTTTCTGTACTACATGGCAATTTCATACGACCCCTTTCACGAACATGTCGAAGCGGGGAGCCTTGGTCCAGCCCTTCTCGTGAACCTCAGTTGCACATGACCATCCCACATGGTCTCTCAAAGTTGCAAAACGACCATGTCGCATTGGATGTTGGGTTCGAAGCAGTGAACACTGCCACTGGACATGACTCCACTTGGCTCGGGACGTGGTACACGCGTGCCACACCACCGGAGGCACCGTCTCGGTGGGTGGCATGGTAGATGGAGCGGCGGCCCAGCTCTACGGCCTGGAGCTATCGCCGTGTCTTCCGACTGAAATGGCCTCCAACCTACTAGCGATGGCCTCCAACCTAATAGCAATGGACCAAACCAGCGAAATATCCAGGCTATGGCTATGACTTGCTGGTCGCAGGCTGAGAAGTTGAACCACGCCAACTACCCCTCGTCAAGACAACCTACAGTACAAAGCATTCTATGCATCAGTGTGGATGGGTGAGGGCGGGTGAGGGCTCTCAATCAATTCTTCGCATGGCTGCATGCAACTTCAATCCACATGTACCTGACCTCGTCATTAGCACTTGTTGGCACATCCAGGATCCCAGAAACCCACCATCAGCAAACCCTTTCCGTGCCTCGTCTACCGTGAGGTCAAAGCGGTACCCAGTGTCGAGAACACCATACGCAAAGGTCGATCCCGAACCAACCTCAGGCGACTTGCGAAACGAGTGAGGTGGTGTCAAAGTCACTGAGTATGAGTATGGCAATGTGTGGCAACTCTGCGCTTTCTCTGTTTTGACATCCCCTTGTGACAAAGGTCAAAGGTTGGACGCCGCTCCATGTTCCACCTTCATTTCACATGGGCAGGGTGATCTGTTGCAGCTTCATTGGCTATTTACGTAACCCTGTGGCTCAGGTCCTTGATGCAAACTGTTTTGGCCTTGCTCATCCAGATCCATAATAGTGTCAGGCTGGCCAATTGCACACATGACTAATTGATTTGTCCAAGTGTCTTGATTGAATCATAACTAATCTTTTTACTGAAGAGAACAACATATAAGCGGTGGTCATTTGGTCGTCCTACTCATTTTGCATCCACCACAGTTGTCAATGTCCACGTGTCCAATCGTTTCCACTGTCGTTCCATTGGACTGCCCAGGGATCTGCACAACCAGACCGCAAACGTTGCCATCTCCGAACGGCTCAGCTTTCTGCAGAGAAGACGTTGCCCTTGTGGCGATCGCCCTGATCATCCACCATGTAAAGGGAGGGGCCCTGCGAGCTCAGACGCCACCGGCCGTGCGTTGATGTGGAAGACCCCGAAAGTTGATGTGTAGCCTTTCAAGAGGTGAAAAAAAACCCTTGAAGTGGGTGTCTAGCCATTTAGAATCTCCACTAAGATCCATCCGCTGAGATATCTGCATCAGGCCTTCTTGTCCCAGCCAGCCACCATTGTTCCACAGGAGAGGCCTTGACCCCTGTACCTGTCACAAGAGGCTCGTGGTCAACTCACTTTCGACTACACACCCACACGCGTGAAATTGTCAGAGCTTACGGCGAGCAAGGTGCAATGGCTCTGCACAGAATGCGCTGTATATTGCGAGAACAGAAATAGACCGGTACTAGTACGACTTGAGTTTGTCCTTGCAATTCCTGCCTTTGAGAGTGTGACCGGACTTGGATACGGCAAGCTCAAGACACTGAAAGCAGAAAGACATCCCGATTGCGTCAATACCTCTGAAAAAAGGAGGGCACTGCCAGAAGATGTTGGCCAAAAGCTTAGAGGCGGCCGCCACGGAGATCCGCTCCTGGTGTTTCTTCCATCTGAAGTTCTTTTGTTCGACGGCCTCTTTTATGTCCTTTGATTCCCTTCATTCTTTCATGCTGGAGCAGGGAGGGCAGAACAGTAGCCATCCCATCGAATGGGATGCCCATGTCAGGTTTTGACTTGAGTCATCTTGAGTCTGTCATGAAATGCGATAAATGTTGCGGTTTAATAAGAGGACGAGTAGTGATGAGTCCTGGCCATTGCTACCAATCCCCCTAAGGTCCTTCTCCCTAAGCTCGTGCATGCGACATAGCCGATTCAGATGGCGCTCCCAGAACCTGGAAGGATCCCAACCAACAGACACGGGTGAGCTGGCTTTGGCCGAGTACATCTCCAAAACGCAATCCTACTGCAAAGTTTATTTCAAGTATAATATAATATCAATACAATATCTAATTTAACATATAATAATGTACATTATATATATATGTGTTTTTCACTTGGCATCACCCTTGAGGTCAGTGGCCCAGCCTCACACCAGCTCCCAAATTAAAATAGGCTAAGTATGTCTAAGTTACCAAACTCAAACATATCATCTATGTCTTGTTCATCACGACTCATCAGGCGCCATGTGTAATACATTTGACTCAGACAGCCTTGGCTACCATCCGCACAGCTGGGAGGCCCTGACGAGCAATCAGCGGCGCCACCCGCGATGGTACCAAGCAAGAAGTCATTGATCTCGATGACCTGTTGCGGATGATCGACACCAACCATGCGTTGCACCCAATCAATTCCTGCAGAATGCTGCACGTCATCAACTTTATGTGGATTGCGCCACAAACTGCAAAACAACTCATGGTAAACAACTCATGGTGGAGTGAAGGGGCTTTGGAGGGCATGCCTTGCTCTTCTGAGGTTCGGAGGAATACTTCCAGTGAGAACACTTTACTTATTGGTACTGTTGAAGGATGACACGCACACATCGAGAAGCGTTTCATGAAGACACAAACCATACTCAAGGCCACGAGCTGCCTTTTGTTCAAAAGCCAAAAAAGCTTGGCAGCTGGGAGGGACGGTCGGTTCGCGCCATTTCGCTCGCCGTTCTTGCTGGATTGAAGTTGAAGTTTTTAGGAAAGAAGAAGGGTCCTGACACCGGACACCGTTTGGTCAGGTTATGAGCCCAAGATCTTGCTGAAGTGAGGTCTTGGAATGTCACTGCAACAACACCGTCGTCGAAAGGCGACACAAGAAGAACTAAGGCAGGGACAAAAAGAGATGGAAGCAGCTCAGAAGAGGCTGGAAAGGGAGGCAAGGGAAAGTGGGGAACTCCCCATCGAAGATGAAAGAAAGGAAAAGGCCAATGGCAGTGGTAAGAGGGAAGGGGGTTTGGAGCTCCAATCCATCGCCGAGACTGCACAGGGCACTCCTTCGACGTCGGTTCCAGCTCCCAACGAAGACAGCCGGACGAGAGCTTCCGAATCGTCCAAGACCCCGCAAACCACTGGCAGGACTCCACAACAGACAGCCAGGACTCCTCAGCCGCAGGACCAAAGAAAGATGGCACCAGCTGAAGGAGGCGAAGCTGAAGTCAGGACACCTGCAGAAAGGAAGACCATGGAAGCTTCCACAAAGAAAGAAGAGGTCGAAGGCAAGGGGAATGGTGGGAAAAGGGTGGACCAAGATCTTGAAGAGGACACGACAGAGCCGCTTGTTGTGTCAATGTCAACTCCACCCGACCCACAGCTCCCGTTGTTCACCAGAGAACAGTTGCAAGGACTTCATCATATGTATGAACAAGCTCCAGCACTGTATCCTCAGTTTCAAACCCCATACTCTGTCGCTCGGCCGTCCTTTTTGGAAAAAGAAGAACCAGAAGGGATCAGAAGGTGGAGGATGGAAGAAAGGGAAGAAGAACTAAAGAACTTTGAAGAAAGAATGAGGTTCGAGAGGACCGAAAAGGAGGAGTTGTCACGACAGCTGCAATACCTGATGGTCGAAAACCAAAAACTCAGGACACAAGCTGCCAGTGCCATGACCTCGGAAAAGAAGAAAGAAGAAAGTGAGTGGCTTCGAACACGCCATCTACAACAGGTGATTGAAGAGAATCGCCAACTCAAAGGAAACCTCAAGAAGCTCTCCTCACAGTTGGAGGCTAAGGAAGAAGAAGGTTTCTTCGCCACTCCCAATGAAAGCTTGGGAGTAGAAGAGGAAGAGATCAACCATGGTCCCCATGACCATGAACGAAGAAGCACGCGAAGGGTCAACAGGGAAGGGCAATGGGGGACGCAAGAAGGAACAGTCTTCATCAGATGCACTCCCTCCACAAACCGTGGATGTGATCCTCCGACTGCTCCAAGGAATGCAAGACATCCAGAAGAAGATCGTCAAAAACACAGGAAAAGAAGATGGAGAGAGGGAAGGAAGCCCAGAAGTGGTTCAAAGAGGAGTTGAACTACCTAAGCTTCCAGAATGGTCACCGGAGACTGGTCCCATCGACTTCTCGGATTGGCTCCTGGTGATTCAGCCGCTGATGGGGGATCTCAGCAGCAGCTCTGAAGAATGGTGGCAGGTGGTGGTGGACACCGCAAAGGCATGGTATGTTTCCCACATGGGGAAAACTCCATTGGATCGTTTGCAGCATCATCCTGTCCCTCCACCTCTCTTGGTGCAGAAGAAGTGGCAGCGGCTGGAAAGGAGAGCTTCCTCCTTACTTTTGGCTGCCATCCCTGAAGGGCTAAGGGAGGAGGTTGTTTCATCGAGAAGTTTGACCACCTTGGGAATCCTAACAAAAGGGATGACACAATACCAACCAGGTGGACTGGCAGAAAAGTCTGCCATCTTGGCGGCATTGGAGTCGCCACAAGAAGCACAAACAATTGCTGGAGGGGTCACCACCCTCAGAAGGTGGCTCCGATGGAAGAGGCGGGCAGAAGAGCTTGGGGTGTCCATCCCGGACGCCACCATCCTGGTCAAAGGGTTGGGCCGTTTGATGAAGAAGCTGAGCGCGACACACTCAGACTTGAACTTTCGGCTTCAACTCACAAGAAACCAGCTCATGGTGGATACAATACCAACCCAAGAATCTGTCACAAAGTACTCGCACCACTTGTTGGCTGAATTGGAGACTATGGGCCATCAAGCAAAGAAGAAGGAGGTGACAACAGAACCTCCAAAGTTGAAGAAGTTTGAAGAACAGTCAAAAGACCAAGGTACAAAAGACTACAAGGAGGTTGGGAACAAGGAGAAAAGCAAGTGCCGATTCTACCTCTCCGACAATGGATGCAGAAGAGGCAAGGGATGTTCGTACTCCCACGACCAAAGAGATGAAAAGAGAAGATGTTGGAATTGTGGTGGCACGGACCACATGGCTCCGGCATGCACCAGGCCGAAGGAAGGAAAAGAAAATCCGAAGCCAAAGCTTGCGAAGGCAGAAAAAGGAAAGGATGTGAAAGAGGAAGCAAAGGAACAAGAAGAAGCAAGTGGGTCCATGCAACCGAGTGTGAAAGACCTACTGGAAGAAGCAAACAAAATGTTGAAGTCGTTGAACTCATCTCCCTCGTCATCCACCTCGTCTCCCACAGCTCAGGAAGGAGAAGAAAGAGAAGAAGTCATGGAGAGGTTGCAAAAGCAGCTCAACGCACTTCGCCAGAAGGCATTTCGCCTCATGAGGTTGAAAAAGGGGGAGAGAGCTGGCCTACTGGACAGTGGAGCCACACACCCGCTTCGACCCATCAAACGAGGCGAGAACAAGGAGCTCTACGAGAAGGTCCAAGTTGCTCTGGCCGATGGGCAGACCACGTGGCTCCCTATAACTCCAGGGGGAGTGATGATCACTGAAGACCAAGACATTGAGCCCATCATCCCAATGGGACAACTGACAAAGCAGTTGGATTGCAAGGTCAACTGGTCTCGAGGAAGCTTGGAGGTGATCCATCCTGTCCACGGAAAGCTCCCAGTCGAAGACTGTGAAGGGTGCCCACAAGTCCCAAAGAAAGTGGCCATCCAGCTCATTGATGAGCTAGAACAAGTCAAAAAGGGGATGAAATTCAAGGAGGTGGAAGAGTTTGAAAAGGAGGTGAAATGGTTGAAAGAGCTGGTTGAGAAGCACCCGGTGTTGGCATCGCTCCCAGAAAACATCAAAAAGGAGCTGGTCGTCATGCCCTCAGAAGGATGCCAGCTTCCAGCAAATCGAAGAAAAAAGGAAAAGAATGAAAAGAGATGGATTCATTGTTCACCTGTACGCAGGTCCTGAAGAGGGCTTCACCCTGAGTCGAGCGTGGCAACAGATCGGAGGGAAGGAGGTTGAGCTGCTAGAAATTGATGCGCAGCGAGGTCCCGAACACGACATGCTGAAGTCCAACGGGGCATATCCGGCACTTCTCAAGGCCGTTCTGTCTGGACAGGTTCGAGGGCTGGTCGGAGGACCCAACTGCAGAACGAGATCAGTTCTTCGACATTTTCCAGTACCTGGACCTGATCCACCACGTCCGATCCGAAGATGGGGAGGCGAAGAGTTCGGGATAGAAGAAGCGACCCAAGAAGAAAAACAAAAGCTCTGGGAAGATGATGTTTTGCTTTGGAGAATGGTGTTTTTGGGAATGGTGGCCTCTCATCTACGAAAGGCAAGAAGGGAACCAGACCCTTTCATCTTCTCCATCGAGCAGCCAGCATCACCAAAAGAGTACAAACCCGAAGTGGTGTCATTCTGGGACACATCCCAGTGGGCTTCGCTAAAAGAAGAATTTGAGTGGGAAGAAACGACATTCTCACAACGACCTCTTGGAGGAGCAGCGACAAAGCCAACAACGTTTGGAGGGAACCTCCAACTGGCACCTGAAGATCATGTTCTCAAGTCCATGGACGATCGACAGGTCACCCATTCATGGCAGCTGGCACGATGGCCTCCAGGACTGATGAACATGGTAGCTACAGCCCTACTCACCCAGGCATTCCACCAACAGCCAAAGCTGAAGGCACTGTCCTGGGAAGAGCACTTGGCATTTGGGCACACGCCATCAAGAAGAGACTGCAGAATATGTCAAGAAAACATGCAGCAGTGCAATCCTCACCGTCGAGTTCAACATCCACTAGCTGGAGTCCTGTCGTTGGACACTGCGGGACCCTTAACACCTGCAACAGACCAAGGAGGACAGTTGTCCAGATATTTTTTGGCTGGCGCTTTCACCTGGGCCGTTCCAACAGGATCCAAAAGAATCACGGAGGAGGAACCAGAAGAAGAAGGTGACGAGGAACTGCCAATGATTGAGGCGGAAAGGGAAGAGGAAGAAGATAAAGAAAAAGATGAAGAACCAGGGGAGGTCCAAGAAGATCGAGAGATCTCAGAAGGACACCGAGAAACGATCTCGGATGCAGAAGAAAGAGAAGGAAGGGAGGTGGGTCACCTACAGGAGGAGCTGAGTCCAGGGGGAGATGAAGCTATTCCAATGAAAGGCTCCAAACCTCCAAAAGACTTCGAAATCAAGACCTTCCACCTGGCACTTCCTATGCTCACAAAAAAGTCGCTGGAAGTCACCAAGGCCACTATGGAAATGGTGTTGAGGTTGAGGATGGACGGATACACCGTCAGTCGGATACACTCCGATCAAGGCCATGAATTTTCAGGCCAGTTTGCAGCCTACTGCAGGAAACGGGGAATCATGCTGACCAAAACTGCAGGAGACGAACCCCAGGCGAACGGCCGTGCAGAATCCACGGTAAAACGAGTGAAAACGATGGTTCGGAAGGCACTACACCAAGCTGAAAAAGATGCAAGGTGGTGGCCATGGGCTACAAGGTACATCAACGAGATCCTCCGCTGCCATCGGATGAACGAAGTTCCATCTTTTCCAATGTTTATGGAAAAGATCCTGGTACGGAAACGACGCTGGCAGAGGGATGAGCTGGGACCAACTATGGAAGAAGTGTCCTATCTCGGTCCATCGACCGAGAACCACGGTCACTGGATCGTGAAGGAAGGTGAACGTCCAAGACTCACCCGATGTGTCATGAAGAAGGTGGACCAGAGGCCAACAGAGGGACAATGGATCGCCCTAGAACGTGAACTCTTGGATGGCCTAACCCTCAGAAGAAGGGTGAGGGGGAAGACCACAATAAAGAAAATACAAAAGGAGGTGGAAAGTGAAGAAGAGAAAGAAAAGAAAGAAAGGATGAGGATAAAAAGGGTGGTGGGAGAAGAAATGCTCAAAATCCATGAAGACGACCCTGACCTCGCGGTTTGCTCAATCCTCATTTTGGGGAAGCTCAAGAAGATCCTAGAAGAAGGGGTGGAGGAAGAAGAAGAAATCCTCCAAACGAAGATCGTTTCGCCAAAAGAAGTGGCGAAGGAATGGAAGAAATGGCTGCCATCGGCTGAGGATGAAGTGCATTCTTTGCTCACGGAGAAACAAGCACTTCTTCCACTCGCAGCTCAAAAGGTCACAGACTTCATGGAAGAAGCCAAAAGAAGAGGAGTGAAAGTTGAACTCATCCCTTCAAAGTTGGTGTTTGCCAGGAAACCTGGCAAAAATGGTGGAAAGCTCAAGGTCCGCTGGGTGATCTGTGGAAACTTTGAGTCCAAACAGCCTGAGGAAACCAACTACTCAGGTGGTGCTGATGCCTCAGCATTCCGAATTATGATCCTACTGGCGGCAAGACACCAGTGGGAAGGCACAAGTCTCGACGTGAAGACAGCCTTCTTGAACGCTGAGATGACGTTCAAGGATGATGAACACTTGATGCTCGTCCTTCCACCCACGTTCTTTGTGGAACGAGGCTTCATGGAAAAAGACACCTACTACCTCCCTCAGAAGGCGGTATATGGGCTCAGAAGGTCTCCACGCCTATGGGGTGAACATCGCGATGAAGCGATGAGGAAGTTTGAGATCAAGGTCCAAGAAGAAGGAAAAGAAAAGAAGATGAAGTTGAAGGCGCTGGACTCGGAGCCCAATCTGTGGAAAGTGGTCTTCGAAGAAGATGAAAGTGAAGAAATGAAAGGCCTAGTGATGACCTACGTCGACGACCTGTTCATCGTGGGACCTCAAGAAATCACAGAGGCCATTCGTGAACATGTTCAAAAGACATGGACCACTTCAAGCCCACAAAATGTCTCCGAAGTGCCGATCAAGTTCCTGGGGATGGAAGTGTCAAAAGAATGGGATCACCAAGCTGAAAGATTTGCCTGGTTCATTTCCCAGTCCTCCTATGTGGAAGACCTGCTGAGTACAGGAGAGGAGAAGCTGAAAACCAGAAAGATCCCGATGACACGAGACCAAGCCTCGATGGAACCAATAGAAGAGATGCCATCACAGTCACAAATCCGCTCAGCCCAAAAGGTGGTGGGTGAACTCTTGTGGCTGGTCACCAGGACACGGCCAGATCTGATGTTCTCAGTGTCCAGAATGGGAGCCAACATCCTGAGAAGTCCACAAGCTGTCACTGAAGCAGGAATCCAAGCCAAAGGATATCTACTGGGAACGAAGACCCTCGGTCTCAAGTATCTCTTAAGAGAAGATGAAGATCTGGTGCTCAACGTCTTCACTGACGCATCATATGCTCCAAATGCCGAGGAATCCCATGGATGCTGCATTGTGGTGGTGGGCTCATGCCCCATTTTCTGGAAATCAGGTCGCCAAAGTACAGTAACACTGTCCACAGCTGAAGCCGAACTCACTGAAGTGGTTGAAGGTATGGTTGCCGGGGAGTCAATCTCGGTGATCCTCGACGAACTGGTGGGAAGGCTTCCAAGAATGGCCTGGACCGACAGCCAGTCAGGTCTCTCAATCCTGACGTCAGAAGGAGGGTCATGGAGGACACGACACCTTCGTCTTCGCTCAGCCTACACTCGCCAATGCCTTCAAGAGGGATTGTGGGGAATAGCTCACGTTCCAGGCGAGGACATGCTGGCAGACATCGGGACGAAACCTCTCACGGGACCCCGATTAGAAGACCTTAAAAAGAAGATGAACATGGCCAAGACGATGAAAGAAGAAGAAAAGAAGGAAGAGAAGGATGTGAAGCCAAGTGAAGAAAAGAAGAAAGGGGAAGGAGAATGTGGAAGAGAAGTTGAAGAAGAAACACAAATGAAGAAGGCCAAGACAGCTGCGATTTTGCGAGTGCTTCTCATTGCAGCGTCCCTCACGGCCACCAAAGCACAAGGAGAAGATGAAAAGGATGAAGGAGATATAGGAATTTCCTTTGAAATGATGGTGATGATCTACACCATTGGCGTGAGCCTCATCACGATGATCATCAGGTGGGTTGCGAAGGAAGGAGTACCGGGCCTGTGGTACCCTTCAAGGGGAAGATCCACACACCCAAGAAGTCTTCCCGCAACCCCACCAAAGACACCAAGAAAATGAAGGCCATGAAGGTCAAGGAAGGAACGAAAGAAGAGAGGGAAGAAGAAGAACACTGGGATCCTCCACGGACACCGGTGGTCCCAAGACCAAGTGGGCTACCTCAAGAGATTCCAGTCACCCCTCCAGTCACGGTGAATAAGATATCTTCCCAAAAGTCGGGAAAGAAAAGGGACACCGTCGTCACACGGTGGGTGGAACACCGTACAAGGTGCCTGATGACTGGGTACCACCACAAGACTGGATGGAACTTTCCAAAGGAAGGAAAACAGAGGAAGAAGACACTGATGAAGAAGAAGAAAGAAAGAAGGCTTTGAACTTCCGAAGAAGACTCCAGGAACTGGAGGATGAGGAGGAAAGAAACCCAACAGCATCCAGCTCAACACCAGCTGGAACCCAAGAAAGCACACAGGTGGCTGCACCAAAAGCAGCGCAAAGGGTGCCTTTCATCACACCCACGATGTACGTGCCTCCGATCCTAACGACCAGGTTCGGAAAGGCATTCCACTGCAAGGAAACTTGCGACTATCTAGTCGCTCCCCGGACAGGTGCAGTCAAAAAGTCACCATGGTGTCCAGACTGCACCCGAAGCATTGGAAGGAGGACGAATTGGAACATGTGGTCCAATTCCTGGCGCGGTGAAATCCATCCAAACAAAGCCTGCAAGAGGCTTCGCTCGGAGCCGCTGCTGCGATACACCCCGTGCACTCGCTGCACACCTTATGATGGATGAAAGAAAAAGAAGAGGTGGCTTGAGCCTAGGAGGCTCAGATTTTGAATGAAAAGAAAGTTGAGAGGAAGTTCTCTGGAATCATCAGGGACTGACGACCTGATGAAGGGGGAGTGTTGAAGGATGACACGCACACATCGAGAAGCGTTTCATGAAGACACAAACCATACTCAAGGCCACGAGCTGCCTTTTGTTCAAAAGCCAAAAAAGCTTGGCAGCTGGGAGGGACGGTCGGTTCGCGCCATTTCGCTCGCCGTTCTTGCTGGATTGAAGTTGAAGTTTTTAGGAAAGAAGAAGGGTCCTGACACCGTTTGGTCAGGTACAAACCAAATCCTGCTCCTCTTACAAACATCTACAAGGCAAGAAATTCATCGTAAAGGAGTTCGTTGGTGATCATCAGAGTCTTTTGGCATCCAGGCCTAAATCCGCCCGCACCGAAGGTGCAAAGGTGTGACTCTGCGCGAATCGCTATTTAGCTTTAGCTAGGGGTGGCTCATTTTCGTTTGGGATCGAACACGCATATTCTGCATCATGAGCTGCGTTTGGGAGAGGAGTGGGGTTGGGAGAAATCATTGGAAAAACATTGAAAAACACATGGTTTTCACATATCATCTGTGTGACCATATTTCTCATTGTCGTATCATTTGTGTCACGAGGTCCATGAAAGGCAAACAAACGACTCCTCTCAAGAGTTTATATCCTGAAAAGATAATTCATGATTGCATCATTTGCATCAGCTGGTGACAACTGTACAGTTTATTACGGTTGCATATGCGTCAACTGGTTGCAAGCGTATAGTTTATTGCACGGAATGCCTGCAAATTACTGCAATTTGGACCGCCAGAAAATGTACAATTTCAAGGGGTCAAAACAATTTAATCCAATCCAATAAGGTTAAGAATTTGTAAAGGGGTCCAAATATAGAGTGATTGCAAACACTTCTCCAGGTTTCTTCATAAAGTAATATATATATATATATATTATATTGTTGATCCACTTCATGCTGCGTTCATCTCCAAGTTTTGTCGATCATGCACATTCTAGAGTCTGTAAAGTTTTTTGTACATTAACACTCATTCCGACCCCCTTGAATGTACAATTTCAAGAGGGTCGAAACATCGATGAGATCCAACAATGCTTGCAAAGTGCAGGTAAGACATGACCAAACAATTTATCAAAGGGTCCAAACATAGAGTGATTATAGATGGTTATAGATACTTCTTTTATCTTCTTTTTCCTTCTCTCTGGAAGCCACTGGTGCGGGCGGTTGTGTCGCGAAGCGACCTGAATACCTCTAAGACTCTAGTCAAGTCTAATGAGTCTAATGGAATGCAAATCAAGGTCTTACGTGGTCGGGTACTGGAGTGCTGATAAGGGAATTGCCCAAGCAGTTTCTTGGAAAAAACTTCAACACCCGAACAATTCCGTAATGGCCCGTAACGGCCATCTGGACCTTCTTCACAGTCTGGGAGCCAATGTAACTGCCCATGGAGGCCCGTGAGTCCACTGCAATGATGATGCCACCTTGGAACCTGAGACATGAAAGTCACGAAACTGAGCTTCAAGTCGCCCAACCCCTCTCCCAAAAGAATCCCCTCAGAGCTGTCAGCGGAGGTTGCTCAAAAGAACGTGTCTTCCATTCCAGCACCCGAATCAATCTCTCCAAGCTCCCAGGCACAAAGCCCAAGGTGGTGGTGCCTTTCATGAAATCCATGAGCTTGGGCGCCTGAATGTCTCAGTGAAGTCTACACATCTGGTCCAAGGATCTCAGAACTCAAAGTGCTGAACAAAAGAAGGACCTTTGAATAGGACCCTCACCTCACCTTCTTTATGTCTTCTTTTTTGCCATCATCCTTTGCCACCTGCACAGCCTCCAATTCGGCCTCGCCGGACTTCTTGATGTCCAGGCAGAAGGACTTGGGATTGGCCACCGGAGCCATGGCAAACCTCAGAGCTCGCCACATCGGATCGAAGCGATGATGAGCATTGATGAGCTGTGAACAAACCTGGAAAAAGACTTACACATCGCATTCGATCACAATTCCAAGCTCTCATTGGCCAGCGCAAGGTGATACCAATATGGAAAGAGATGGAGTGAGTACAGTGTACTACCTGGACTACCTGAGTTTGTAGAAAGATGCATTGCCTGTGAAGCATTGCTGAGAAGTGCAACCTCAATCTGATAGGTGGCAGCACATGTCATGGTGAATGCTGGTGGTTGCAAGTGCAAGTATGCTTTGGAGAAGAATACAAATGGAACTTTGACTCTGCTCACACACACACACATCTTCGGTTGGAAAACTAAACAAATGTTGCTCATTCAATCCGTGGAATCCATGGTTTAAGGTTTGTGGTGCCCATGTACGACGCCTGCTGTCACAACCATGACTTTGAGGCATCCAACACTGGTGTGGAATTCAATGATGTGAGAAATGAGCTGGACTGAGCTGTTGCTTTCATAAAGAGCATCATATCATATGTCATATGGCTTGGCTGCCCTTGTGGCTAAAATGGGAAGGAGCCTTCAATCCACAATGGCGCACTTTCTAAGCAGCTTGAGCGCACTAAGACAGATTGGCACAGTCGAAAAACTACACACATTTCTGGTGGCGTTCGACAGGCAACTCACTACTGATCAACCAGGAAGAAAGTGTGGTTGATCTATCCGAGCAAGTGATCCCTCTTGCCCGGCAAATGTCACAATTCTGGTCTTGAAGCTGTCAGCTCACATATGCTTTTGTCCAGCCAAGCAGGATCACAAGCTTCGTCAATTTGGTGAGACCTAAAACTTGGCATTCGGCTCACCCTCCAAGTATCCAAGTGGGGATTGGGCGCATTCTGCACGGGGCTAATGGATGCTTCCTTGAAGAAGCGCTCGCACTAATGATTTGGTTCCTAAACAAAATGCTCTCGTTATTCTCACTCATAGGAAGGCTCTGGAAGTGCATGGATCGTGGATCCGCGGACATTGGAGGTTGGGCTACATCAGTGGGCAATCTTTCATCTTCCGTGAGGGTGCCACTTCCCAGGCTGTGTCAAAGCTCCGCAGCAGGTCGCCAGTGTCCTTGGAGCGTCGTGCTCCCGGGAGGAAAACAAAGCATTTGTGCAGTAATTACTGTACACACAATGTCAATGTGCGGATAAGGAATCTGATAAGGAAGCTTTCAACTACAAACCACACCTGTCGAATCGAATGCTCCGTAAAGTGCCCAGTGTACCCAAACTTACTTACTGGCGTGACAAATATCCAATTGAACAGCAAACTAACAAATGAACTGGCGCATTGTTTCACGGGGATGGACAGGGCCTTGTTTAAATGATCTGGTGATCTCATCTCATGTTGAAGGGCTTCCAAACTATAGTTTCCTTTTTCCTTCAGCCAGGCATCCCCTTCCAAGCAAAGCTTGACACGGAACTGCACCTCACCGCGTCCGCCAGAATCTATGAGCTGCATGCGGAAGTGCCGGCAACTGCAACACCCTGAAGGCATCGTGTCTGTCCAACAAGTCAATTATACAAAGGATTTCTCGTGGGCGGTGGTCAAGCCATGTCAAGCCTAGTGTCTGACCCTTCATAAATCCCTGTTAAACTCAAGAGCGTCATCGATGTGCAGTGGTTTCGGGAGGTTTTGGTATTGGCTCACCTCCCTGGCATTGATCTTATTTCGATGCAAGGGGTGGCTACCACATGTCGAGTCGCATCATCCTCATGTCAGTCGCTACCGGAAAGGAAGTTGCATCACCCCAGCTTAGTTCGCATGTTGGTCGTTGGTTCCACTTTGTAATTGTAGCCAAAGCCCGCATTTACTATGCGGGTCCAATGAATTTGTCTAAGATCAAAGTACTCTTCGTCCAAACATCAAAACGCTTTGACCCAAGAGGCCAAAACGGCAAAATCATAATATGACCTTTTCGTCATGTTCCGTGAGGCTTACATCCAGGATTTCAATACAAGAACAACTTTTAAAGATCTTTAACGCATTGTTTAAACAATTTCAGACATGTCTTTCTGCAAGGAAACCAATCATATCCTACACCTTTCTCCCAGGTGAAACAACATAATATACTGATACTAGTAGTGTAGCCATGTGGAGAAGCCCGCACCGAGTCAGTCTGTGATGGGTATTTCGAGCCAGCAGAAATCTTTCGCTAGACATGCCCCATAGATATCAATCCAGGACTTGCCTGCCACTCGGTCCAAGTGTTCCTGAAATGAGGTCTGCAAGGCATCACAGCTTGAAATCTGGAGGAGCTGCAAAAGACGAGAACCTCTATTGACTCTGCTTCTGGAAGAAGTGTAGTCTGCAACGAATGACAACTGGACACGCGCACCATCTCCAGGTCTACACCATTTCACATCCCTGACCTTTGGAACCCAAACTGCTCCCTCATGCGTAAAGCTCGCCAGAGTCGTCAAATCTGAGACCGTGGCCCGGAAGGGCGGCCCAAAGCCCTGTGGGTTCAGTTCTGCCGCCGTTGGCCGAGGATCGTGCACGCTTGGCCTGACTTCGCGCGTTTCGCACGTGGCACCAGCTTCAGCATCGGGGCGGGGCTGCCGGTGGCCGTGCACCTCTGCATAGGTGGGCCGTGTGTCACGGTGAGTCGCGTAAGCAGGCTTGGGGAATGGATAGCCCGGATAGTTTGGGTAGCCAGCATAGCCGTGTGGAGGCTTTCGGCTCTCGGGCTTTGCATAATTCGCATATTCAGGAGATTTCTGGGTGTGGGGTGAAGATTGTGGAGGCTTAGGCGGCGAGGCCCGAGCCTTCTCAGCTTGTTGACTCTCAGCTTGTTGCCTTGCAGTTTGTTGCAGCTGAAAGTCATAGGCTTTCTTCTTCTCTTCATCACCGAGGACCTCATATGCATCGGCTGCTTCTTGAAAGCGCCTTTTCGCCTCTGCGCCGGTGCCCGCCTTGTCCGGGTGCCAACGCAAGGCCTTCGCTCGGAAGGCCTTCCGAATATCGGCCGGTGAGCAGCCTTGCTCCAAGCCAAGGACCGCGTAATGGTCGAGGATGCCCTCGAAGTGCTCCATCAAACGCCTTCACCTTCGTACCGTCGTTGCAACGGCCCATGATAGGCGAGATTTTGATATTTCAAGAGCCAACGCTGCGAGCCAAGATGGAAAGAGACGGTATAGATATGCATCGATTGAATGCACATATCACCACAGAATGCGTAAGTTTGGAGTCAATTGCACAGCTTGATGCCCGCTATCCAGCAGCCTTGCTTCGGGCATCATATTGCAGTTCTCTCCAATTCACCCAAACTACTAGGAACAAGAAGCTACTAGGGGCAAAGGGCATCGCTACTAGGAGCAAGGACGCTACTAGGGGCTCCTGGCCTTACTACTAGGAGCAAGGACGCTACTAGGTGCTCGGGGAGTCCCATCAATCCTGCTTATGACTAAGCTTGCGAACGCCTGCGGCTCGCATGCTCGCAGGTCGGCCAAGTTGAAATTATCTGCGCCGGTGCAAAACGCTCACAAACAGTCACAAATTATTGACCTGGCTGGGAGCTCTTTCCATTGGAGTGTGACAAAGGATTCTTGGCATGCAAAAGCTCAGTTCCACTTTTACACGCCGCAATGTAATACCGTACTGTGCACAAACAGAATCAATCCATTGCAAGAATATCCACGAGGCTGTTCTCCAATGGTCCAAAATCATCTGACCCCCTGCCTTCATCATCTTGGTGATATCGGCTCTTGCTGAAGATGGAGGGGTCCTTGCAGACTGCGGCGCGGCTGGCATGCTGGACTTGACCAACAAGTTCAAGCCACTTTTCATCTTGAAGGTTTGTCGCTGTCTGTTTGTCCGCTGAACCATTGCTTGACATCATTCAACATATATATATATATATATATACAGAACATCTACAGCATACAGCAAATCCCATATTCAGCAAATACCCTAAAGTGTTGCACCGCAATTTGAGCTCTCCTCCATGAAGGACATGTCTACTGCCGCCACGGCCATCTTGCCTGGGGATGGAGCCCGTGGTAGCTTTATTGCTCCTAGCAGTAAGGCCAGGAGCCCCTAGTAAGTAGCGAACATTGCTCCTTCCCATCTTCTATTGAATCAGGTAATAACTCAGAAGGTTGATCGAACCGCAAGACAGTTCGATCTCTTGGGACAATCTAGAAACAAACAAACACAGATTCCCCTCCACTGCAACATTTGATAACATGCTTTTAAATTGCACCCAGTTCAAAACTATACCAATGACATCCAATGACTAAAATGCATAGACAAAAAAAGAAACTGGCTTGTATTGCGCCCTTTTCGAAGCCACATTGCCAGGCTTGCAATCTGATAAGAGTTTTATAAGGAAACAATTCGTGCAGTTTGCGATCCGAGTTCCAAATACAGTAAAATCAATTTAACTTCCTACAAATGTCATAGTCAGTCATATGCCTGACTCAAAGTTATGTCCAGCTGACAGGAAAATCAATATACTTTTTCCCCGAACTGAACTGAGGCCTCAGTTCTATTCCCAGGTCCCAGTATATATATATATATGCAAAAGGGTGGGTCAGAAGTAATTTGAATGAGGTATAAAAACACTTTTAATGTTTGAGCCTCCTTGCAAGCAAGAAGAGCTCTCCAACACATATCACATATCTATATAAGTACACGCACGAGGCTGGACTTAACTAGCAATTCCAGCAAAACGTGGCCAAGTCCTGTGCCTCTTTGCTTCTAGGGCTGGGCTCCGAATTTCTGCTGAGCCACGGATGGCTTCCGCAAACGACATTGTGAAGACGGCGCTCAAACGCTCTCAAAATGGAGTTCAAAGCGACCTCCAATTAAAACCATGTTGGGTGGTTTTTGATCTGAATCTATCTGCCAAACTGCTTCCTTTCGTCACTTATGTTGTAAATCTTATGAACAAACCTTCGGTCAAAGCAAATAACAACTGCACCCTTAATTTCAGGGGCAGTGATACATCATGATACCATACATCACCCAATCCAATGCTTCCTCACGCTATGCCATCCCTTCCGCTCCTTTTTGCATGCAGGCGCAACTGGCCCGTTTTCGGTGGAGAATGATTAGAGCAGCCACTAATTAAGTGTGGCGTTGGCAATGCTCTGATCGAGTAAGCTCACAACGGTCGACATCAGTTACAGTTACAGTACACTATAGGTAAAAACGAGAAAGCAGAAAGTGCACCTCCTCCTTTCAAGCACCAGTTCCTTATTATGTTATCTGTTATGTTCACCGATGTGTTTCTTCCATGAGCCTGCTCAACGAGTCCAATTCCGGAGGCTCGGAAGACGGGAAAGCTTCCAAGCACAGTGTGGGCGGTGGGCGTCCATAGTTTGAAACACGACAATTCAAGGTCCCTTTAATAAGGGCCCATAAGATTGCCTTTCAAGGGCCTTTATTAGAACTCATTGTCTTTTCTTGTCATCTCCTTTTTTGAAACATATACTTGTGTGCCAATCTTCATGCGTCGGTCCCAAGTGTTGGCAATGTCCACATTGTTGGATTCTGGCTAGGAATGCGGACATGGAGATTCGGCTGACAAATACTTCGGAATCAGGACATGTAACAACCTCTGATTACCTTTACCTCGCTTCGGTCAGATCAATAGCGTGTGGCATGTCGTACAGTATTCTTGTGGAATGAAAAAAGAGGCATCTCAAACAATGCGATGTGAAGATCGAAGGGGGTGCTGGTCTCAGCAACGGTCAGTTGAATATCCGCACGTGTTATAGCGGCACCTGCCCTTGCAAAAGAGCTCTGGTAGGTTCAAAGCTTGCTTCCGAGAAAGAATGACAACAGTTTCCAGGAAACACACTCTTTATGGAATTAGATGAAATTAGTGACTTGTTTCTTCCGATTCTGACTTCAGACTGAAAAACATGGACATACTGTCACACTATGTGACTGCATCAGTGGCCCCACAAACTCTTGTTGAACTCGAAGGAACTCGAAATGGATTGAGTTGTACAGGGGACAAATGAAGGACTTTGTGGGTACCTTCGATCTGCTTCGATATTTCTAGCTTAGGGGTGCCCACTCCACCCACATGCTATTGATCTATTGTCCATTGTCCATCACATTCTCTGAAACTCTTGACGTTCAAAGGATTTCTACCATAACTGAAGAATACTCAGTTATAAGTTATACATATTAACAGATCAGCTTTTTGCAAACACCACCTGCAGGCCCATTTACGACTTCTGAAAGAAAGAGCCCACACCGGCGAAACTTGAAACACTTCCGTCATCCGAATTGACATCAGCGACTCTCACCGCCTGCCGCTGGGACCATTCTCTCACACGAGGTTGCATGTTTACCGAGCAAAACCCAAGTCATTCCTCACCAAGAACTCCAGTCTGACTTTGGGAGTTTCAATTTGAGGCCACAGTGCCCCTATCTCATGCCATGCAAAGCTCTTCCATCAGTGGCACGAGTGCCATTCCATCGACGGTATGCAAGAATATTCAAGACATGCAAAAACAAAGGTGGGCCAAACGTAGTGAACAAAATAAAGGACTATTAAGGTCAATGAACAAATGAAATCCTCCACGGCGGGAGAGACAAATACGCATCCAGATACGACAGTGGCAAGGAGTGCAGAAGCTAGGTCCCGAATCTGACCGTAGCGTCATAGGGTACCATAATGACATGGCAGGCACACACATCGGGATAGGCCTCAGAACGCAGCGCAAACCGAGAGCAATAGGCTATGTTTAGGCTGTCCAAACCCAGAACTCTGCTTCGTATGGTTTTCGACCGCTTCTTGGAGGCTTTTCCTGGGTGGGTTGTCATCGACCAATAGCCGGAGCAATCGAGCCAAGGATAGTAGGAGTGTTTGCAGAAAAATCAGGAAATTCTCTTACATTGTCCAACATCTTGTTGACTCCTATTCGGGCCACCAACCTCACAATCTCTGAGGCCCAACTCGCATGCGCAGGTGTGGAGGAAGTGTCACCCTGGAGGTGGCGGGTTCAAAGTCTCAGGAGCAATGAACACCTAGACCTAAACAACAAGGACGCCACTAGGGGAGGCCATTACTACTAGTAACAAGGAGGCTACTAGGGGGGGGCATGGCTATTAGGTTGGAGGCCATTACTAATAGACTACCAGTAACAAGGACGCTATTAGGTGGAGGCCATCGCAAGTAGGTTAGAGGCCATTACTACTATTAACAAAAAGCTACTAGGAGCAAAGGTTTCTTTCGTCTCTTTCTCGCTCAGGACTCTCAGAAGATCTTCAAACAGAGTCCCAACCTGCCCGCTTCGGCTAGGGCTTGCTGATGTGTAGGCGCGGCCTGGCCGGGTTTGTTGCCGCTTTGAGAAACAGGCGTTCAATTAAGCGTTGTGATCGAATCATAGTCAGTATCCCCATGCACAAGGTTGACCCCTGAAACAAACCTGAAACAACCTTGCACCCGTGCGCTTGGGAGGCGGGTATCTTGAAGCATTTGCAAGCAATCTATATAAATCTCGTCTTGAACTTGAAAACACGATTAGAAAAGCAAGCTTTCCAACTACCTGGGGCTAATGTGCAAGCAAACTGTCCCACTGTCCCTAGAGGAAGAAATTGTTTGGCCGGTGTTAGTCTGTCGGTGTGTTTTTCATTGCTTTTCAATCACCGAGAAAGGACCCACTGCTACATCAGTCTCCGGCCCAGAGTCAGGCAGCCGCACTGGCTCGTATCGATTCTGTTTGGAGACTTTGCCACGTCGCTCCACCGAGGGGTGACCTGAAGGTGTTAGAAAGTTATTTATGCTTTCGGTGACAGGATCGAATGAAGTCGGATGCCAAGTGAATTTATAGTTTCGACCCCAAGCCTCTAGGAAGTCAGAATGACACGGCGGTTGTCCCACATGTCTACTTTTCTTCTATCTAAACATCGAAAACAACGCTGTCTTACAACCATAAGAATCTGTATATTATCTGTGTATCCAAGAATTAGTTGGCATCTTCATCCAACCTAGGATTTATATGGGGCGCGGCTCTCAAAGCGCTGGATGGCTGCCATGATGGCCATGGCTCTGGCCTCAGATGCAGGGTCGTTG